TTGAGGACTTGTAGATCGGTTATTGATGTTTTAGACCTTCTCTAAGCCAAAATATTGCCATTTTGGTTTTTCCTTCTGTGAGTAGGGCCTCTGTGTTTGGTCTGGTATGATCAGAAAGGTACCAGTTACCATATAATGACTTCACTAAGTCCTCCGGACATGGTGGCCTGAGAGGGGATGCATTGCTAGGGCATTAGCGCAGGGGGACATGCTGCAGAAGACTACTCTTACTTTCTAAGAATGCTCCTAGCATTGGAAGAAAGTGCTTTGGTGGATTTAGAAATTATTGAAACTCATAGAAAATCATGCTGGTTGGGGCAAAGGTCTTCAGCGTATATCATCTTTATCGTCCCTTCTTCTGTCCGGTCCTCATTCTTGGATAGGCACAGGTGGCTTTTTCCCTGGCAGGGGCTATTTCTTTCATATCTTTCCATTGCTGGTAGAAAAGAAGACTTTGGTATCTTAGATAAATGCTCTTCAAGAAGTCTTTTCGCTAGAATTGAGGGCTTCTCAGAAAAGGCGGATTTCTTTTCTCAGGCAAAGCACTCTCTGTCATGTGGAACTATTGAACACTATGGAGATGGAAAGTGGTCCAAGCTTCTAACCACTGAAGGAGTAAAGAGCTTTGCTGTTTTGTATTTTCTACTTCTACTAGGTTGGAGGCAGGTAGGATATTTTCTTGGTGTTTGCCTAAATCATATCTCCAAATGACATTAACATGACAAGAGCGTAGGAACATAGGAGTTACGGGAAATATCAATAATGTGGGCTAATTATGAAAGATGAAATGGTCGGTTACTTTTTATTTCTTTGTAACCCCCAATAAAGGGTTCCATATAGAGGTCAAGTGAATGGGCCTTGGTCTTGTTGGCTAGAAATGAATTACAAAGAAAATCATTGAGGACTTTCCTTGGGTAATGACATTCAGATGACAAGCCACATTTGAGTCTTTACCTGAATTCTTACTCATTAATTAATTTCCCTAACACATACTTACTGAAGATAATATTTTAAGCTTGCTAAAGTAAATTACACATGTTTTGTCAAATGATCATTTATTTTGCACAAAATGCAAAACTGTGTACTGTGGTTTGAATACTTTTAATCTGTTTCTTATATTCATGCTCTGAATCATATTAACTGGGAATTTTCATAATAACTATGGTAGGTGACAGTGAAAAATGTTCTGATGGATTCCTTCAACACATTCCAGAATAATTCAATTCGAAGACATAATGTAATTTTTCTACTCATGTTTATTTTAACTCATAAAGTTTTAATACATTCTTTTTTAAAAAAAGTTATTTATTTGAGAGGCAGAGTTATAGATACATTTATTTTGTGTCGGACAGCTTAGTTAATTACATATCTTGGCTATTGTGAAAAATGTTGCAAGAAACATTGTGACACAGGAATCTTAGATACAGTGAGTTCATGTCTTTTGGGTGTATACCCTGTAATTTGGATTGCTTGATCATATGGCAAGTCTATTTCCATTTAATAAGAAATCTCCACACTGTTTTCCACAGTGGCTGTACCAACTTAGATTCAATAGCATATAGGAGTTTCCAGTTGTTCACATCCATGCCAGAATTTCGTATTTTTTTTTAACCATTGTCATACTGACCTGGATGAGGTGATATCTCATTATGGTTTTGAACGCATTTCCCTGACAGCTAGTGCTTTAAGCATTTTTTAATTTATTTGTTAGCCATTTGTATATCTTGTCTTGAGAACTGTCTATTCAGGTCCTTTGCCAATTTCTTAAACTGGATTGTTTTGGTAGTTATTGTTTTTTGTTGTTGTTGTTCTTGAGTTTTTTTGTGTAGCTGATATCTTCTAGGTATTTATTCTTTATTAGATAAATCATTTGCAAATATTTTCTGCCATTTTGTTGGATGCCTCCTTACTGTATTATTTGTTTTGTTTGCTATACAAAAGTTTCCAAGTTTGATAAACCCATTTATCTCATTTTGCTTTTGTTTCCTTTGTTAATGGGGTCTTATCAAATAAATCATAATCCATGTCAATGTCTTGAAATTTTTCCCTTATGTTTTCATCTAATACCACTACTGGTACATTTTGCAAAGCAAATCTATAAAACAAAGTTTTTTTGTGCATAATTTAAACTATATATTTGTTGGATAGTAGTATTTCACCCTCAACTCCAGCTTCTGAAAATCTCAATACTATGCTTGATTTCAATGTAGTTGACTATTTCAGAGAACACAGATAATGGGAATCACGCAGCTACTGTCTCTCTGTGACTGTGTTATTTCACTTAGCATAAAGTACTCCAGGTTTATCCATGTAGTTTATATAGCAGGATTCCCCCTCTCTTCAAAAGCTGACTAATAATCCATTGTATGTGTATTCCAAACATTTTTATCCATACACACATGAACCGTGAGTTTCTTTTGTGAATAACACTACTAAGATCATGGATGGGAATGCAAATATCTCTTCAAGGACCAAATTTCAATTTTATATATATGTATATGCAAAAGAGAAATTTCTGGATCAGATAACAATTCTACTTTTGATTTGTAAATTAATATAAACATTTTTCACAGTGGCTACACCATTTTACATTTCTATCAACTATTTACAGGGGTACCGATTTGTCCACATCCTTGTTAATATTTGCTAAATTTGTTTATTTGAGTATAGTCATCATAACAGGTATAAAGTGATTTATCATTATGGTTTTGATTTAAAAAATCCTTTCTCTTCCAATGAACATCCTTATATACCATAAATATCAGCCTTATTTAAATACATAATAACCAAATAAAGGAAGCAGGAAATATGGTGGGTAAATGAAATGAATATAAAGTTTGTTCCTGAAATCACTCAAAAGAAGTGCTGAAAAGTTGTGATTAGAGTTATATTAAATTATTTCTCTATTTCCAATGTTTCCACCAAAATGTGAGTTATTTTTCAAAAAAAGGAAACAGAACTCATGAAGCTTATAAAAACATGTCATTTTAGAACAAAAGATGATTTTTTTTAATTTAGAAAAGTTTAAGTATACTGTTTCTAAGAAAATGAGACCTCCATAGGAAAATGAATATAATGATATCTCAAGTTCTATTCGTTAAATTGTTTTCAAACATTGGAGTATGTTATTGGATTTTTTGGCCTGTTTATAACATCTGTCACCATTGAATCTATGATATCATTTTGATATCATCAAAAAAAACGATAAATTTGGATTGAGTATTATGGGCCTGACTTCTTCAGACACACACTACAAGATGCAGAAATGGTGACCTTTTGCTCTGCATTTCAAGTCAATGCCACAAAGAACCAGCATTGTAAACTGTATTCTGAGTCTCATGGTGGTAAAATCCTACAATATTATTCAAAAATCTTCAATATTTTTATTTTCCTTATTAAACCCTCTTACTTTCTTGCCAAATTTCAATTAAAACTATTTGTTCTCTACATGTTAATGTATTCATTCAGCTCCTTAAGTTTCAAATCTCTTTCTTCCCCAATTTTGTTTGACTTATACTCCCATGCCCCTATCATTATTCATATTATGCTCCAAGTGCACATACTCTTTCAGAGGAGAGTCTATCATCACTGCCCTGGTGATCCTCTCACCGCTTCATCCATGACTTCGGCATTTGTTGGAGTTTTAATTGACTTCTTCCTTACTGTCTGTGTGCTCCACCATGCCCTAGGCCTAAACAAACTAACTTATTGAATCATCTTCCAGACCATAACCAGTGCCTCAACAATCTCCTGAGATTTGGTATCTCTCCAAAACTCAAATGACCCAGCGACTGAACACAGTGGATTTGAGTGTCCTTAGGCTAATCTATACTGGAAGATAAAGTTATCTTTTTTTTTTTTTTTCTTTCAGGCTCTATACTGAACAAATAGGAACAAATAGGAAGTACTTTAGATCACTGTGATTCATCTTAAATTGTTATGTGGGCTTAACAAAACTCATGAAGCAAAACAAAAGGGAGAGAACAATAGGAAATCAGAACAGGAAGAATGGTGACGGTTTGATAATCAGCATATCCTGTAAAGATATGAGTATTGGCATTTGATTTGAACTTAAAGCTGACTTGTACCCTTCTCATTAAGCAGGAATGCACAACTAGGGAAGAACAACAAGACAAGCTTAGGATGTCTTTCTTACAATGTTGTGGTGGGATCAGATGAAGAGTCTGAATGTGTTTTTCAATGGTCTGTCTATAAAAGAGGGCTTAAAACACATTTCATGTGTGAAAACCTCTATATAAATCAAACAATGTCAAAGTCACTTAGTAGCAGTTTTACTTAAAAAATTTATACTTAGCAGAAATTGTACTTTTAGTTTCTGTTGATTATGAATAAATTAAACTAAAATTTCAATTTTTTGGGGGAAATTTTTAAACCATATCTACAGTTTATTAATTACAACACTGCTTTTCATATGTCTGAAAAATATCATTCTATGTATATAGAATTATAACATTACAACACATTAACATTATCTGATAACTTCAGCATTGCTGACTGGATGAATGGTGGTGCCTGTGTTAGGATTTTTTTTTTTATCTATATCATCTACAGGTTCTGAAACACATATCAAAATCTTTCAAGAAGCATTTGTGGAGATGATTACATTCTTTAAACAGACAATGCTTGTGAAAATTCATATGGCCTTGACTCTCCATTTGGTACCACATACTTTCACTACTACACTGGGATACAGTCAATAAGTCATCTCATAGGAGGGTAGGGGCAAAAATAAGCAGAATTTGTTGTAGATTTTACAAAGACTATAACTCATATAATAATAGGTAGATGAAAGTCCATATATGCCATTTGTGAGGACACACTCATTCCTTTTTAGTTATTTGTGTAGTAACAGTTGTGGAGAGAAACGTTTATGTGAATCTAAAGTGATAATATATTATGCATAAATGCAACATGCTAATTTTAATTATCATTCCTTTAAATAAATTAAATTTTTATAAATATTTGTTTACTTATTTGAGAGAAAGAGACAGAAAAAGACAGACTGAAAACTCACACCTGCTGGTTCACACTCCAAATGCCTGAAGTGGCGAGGGTTGGGACTTGGCTGGATCCAGTGGCAGGGAACACAATCCAAGAATCCAATTACTTGATCCTTCACTGCAGCACCCCAGAATCTGCATTGCCAAGAAGCTGGAGTCCAGAACCCAAGCCAGGAAGCAAATCCAAGCATTCTGATGTGAGTAGCAGGCATTTTGATTACTAGGTAAAATGCCTGCTTTTTATTTATATTTTAAGTGAAAGTAAAAATTTTGTGTTTATTGTATAGAACATGATGTTTTGGAATATGTAAATATTGATGAAATGGCTAAATTAACACATACATTACCTAACATATTAATAAATTTTTGTGTTGAAAATACTTTAAATATACTCTCAGCAATGTTGAAGGATATAATTTATTATTATTAACTATACTTAGCATATTATACAATGTATCTCTTAAATTTACATATCTTATCTACTGAAATTTTTAGGTAGCTGATGAATATCTCCCTAGAACACTCTACCCCCACCTCTATGCCTGGTACTCAACATCTTATTCTCTATTACATGAATTCATTGTTTATAGATTACACATATAAATCATATTATGCAATATTTGTCTCTCTAGGTCTAGTAATAACACTTACCCTTATGTTCTCTAGGTTTGTTCATGTTTTAAATGACAGAATTTACTTCTTTTAAAGGTGGAATAATATTCCATTTATATATAACATATTATCTATTTGTTTGAGATGGACACTTAGGTTGGAATCATAGCTTGGCTATTGACAATATGCTGTAATGAACAGATTATTTCCTCAACTTACAATTTTGATTTCCTTTGTATATGTACTGAATCATGGGACTACTGGGTCATATGGTAGTCCTATTTTAAAATTTTAATATTTATAAGACAAAATTTACTTAAGAAAATAAAATAATTTTAATTGACTTCCCTTTACATTAAGACAAAAAATATTCCAACGGAAACTAAACCTTAAAAGATAGTTCATCTACTTAGAATGCAATATCCCAAATAGAAAAAATGTCATCAACTCTCTGTGAAATTGTAGAAAATGCACTAATTTGGAAATAAGCATTTGTTTAAATATTTCTTATGCTTTACAGGTAGAGATTTGGCTTATACTTTGCTGCTATTAATAGAACTACATGCAATTTCCTCCATAATGTTAAGGAATAAAATTACTTCAAAATAGTAAATTGGTAAAAAGAAGTAGTGAAATGGAATTACTTTTTATGCTAGATAGAGTGCCAAAGTGTTTTGCTACAGTTCTTTTCATTGTAGCCAAATGTTTTATTTTAATTTTTTTCCCTAATTTGGGGATATGCCTACCATATAGAGGTTGAAAATTTAAAAGGAAAAAAAATTCTCGAGGTAAAAATTTCAACAGGTGATGAAACTTCAGTGGAATTCAGAAATAAAAGTTAGCAAAAGTAACCAGAAATAATGAAACAAACATAAAAAGGCTGCCTCCTTCTGCCACAAATTGAAATGATTTTTCAACAGGTAAAGCGTGTTTCTAAGTTGATTAGGGTCAGAGAGCACAAAAAAGAAGTGTATCCCACTGAATGGTGTTAAAAACCCGTCCCAGAAGTTCAGTGAGTGCTGCTGTGTTTTTTAATTCATGCTTACAGGGCAAAGTCTGTATTCATCCAAGAAACTAGATGAATTGTTGTAATAGAACTGGCCAGTCTAATTGTTTGGTGACACATAGATGCAGCTAAGAAAATCTCAATTCCTAAAGAAGAAGTTAGCAAAGTGTGATATAGTGTCAATAATTTTGGAAGATTAATATGATATATAAAAATGAGAAATGAACTATAAGAAATGGGTCAATGGAACAAAATATTAGTTTATATAGATTGCTCCAGTAAATATTCCCGAAAATGGTACAAGGATACATAAATAATAATTTCTTGTTTGAGCAGCATTTTATTTGAATTCATATTATTACAACATTACAACTACCATCAGCAATTTAGCAATTTAGTTTAAAAAAACTTTTGATAAAAATACATAACATGATATCTGCTCTCTTAAAAATATTAAGTAAATGGTGAAGTACTGTTAACTATGTACACATTGCTATACAGTAGATCTCTAGGACTTTTGCATTATATTGAATATTGTACCCATTTAGCATTGATCAAATATTGTACCCATTGAACAGTAGGTTCCCATTAGCCTCTGACCTTAGCTCCTGGTAAACATCACTCTACTTTATACTTAAATAAGTTTGACTACCTTAGAAAACTTGATACAACTTTGCTCATGCATATTCATTTTTCTAGGGCTGACATTTCATTTAGCATAAATTCCTCAGGTTTTATCTATCTTGAAATAAAGGAAAGGATTTCCTTCTTTTATAAGGCTAACTACCATTTCATTGTGGATATATACCACTTTTTCTTCATCCATTCATCTGTTGATGGGAAATTTGCATGTTTCTACTTCTTGGCTAATGCTTCAATGGACACAATAGTGCAAATATCTCTTCAATATCATGGTTTCAACTCTTTGGGATAAATATTCTGAAGTAGGATTTCTGTATTAAATCATAGCTCTATTTTTCTAAGTTTATTTATTTATTGGAAAGGCAAAATGACAGAGAGAGAGAGACAAGCGTTGGTAGGCTGATTTGTTACTCAAATGCCTGCAATGGCCAGGGCCAAGCCAAATTCAAGGCAGAATCCAGGACCTGCATCTGGTTTTCCCACGTGGTTGGCAAGAGCCAAGTACTTGGGCCATTATCTTTTACCTCCCAGGCACTAGCAGGAAGCTGCATCATAAACGTGAAAGAGCTGTGACTGGAACCAGGCACTAAGAAATGGGATGTGAGCATCCCAAGTAGCAGCTTAACTCATTCTGCCACAAGTCCAACCCCATGTATTCTAATTTTTTTGAGGAAACCCCAAGCTTTACTTTTTCTCTTGGTGTCTGCACAATCGTTTCAATTCGTCACATTCTAGCCAATGCTTATCATATATATACATATACATATTGATCATCCTAAAAAGTATAAGGTAATATGTAGTTGTTTTCCTGTGATTTCCCTTTTTTAGAACTTTTTTAAGTTAATGTGATATTAATATAAACAGAACAGAGTTAGTGTGATTCAAAGACACAATTCTAACAATATAAGGATATTCCCTTCCTCCTTCCCTTCCTTCCTTCCTCTACCTCTTCTCTCCTTAGTTTTTGCTTTCTTTCTTCCTTTCTTTCTTCCTTTCTTTCTTTTTTTTGACAGGCAGAGTTAGTAAGAGAGACAGAGTGAAAGGTCTTCCTTCCATTGGTTCACCCCCCAAAATGACTGCTATGGCCGGCCAGTGTCTACCAGGAGCCACGTGCTTCCTCCTGGTCTCCCATGCGGGTGCAGGGCCCAAGCACTTGGGCCAACCTCCACTGCCTTTCTGAGCCACAGCAGAGAGCTGGACTGGAAGAGGAGCAACAGGGACAGAATCTGGTGCCCCAACCGGGACTAGAACCTGGGGTGCCGGTGCCGCAGGCAGAGGATTAGCCTAGTGAGCCATGGCGCTGGCCTCCTTCTTAGTTTTTAACACAACATATGTATAATTTACATGATAGTCAAAGACTTAATTCTTTTTTTTTTTTTTTTTTTTTGACAGGCAGAGCAGACAGTGAGAGAGAGAGAGACAGAGAGAAAGGTCTTCCTTTTTCCGTTAGTTCAGCCCCCAATGGCCCCTGCGGCCGGCGCACTGCGCTGATCCGAAGCCAGGAGCCAGGTGCTTCTCCTGGTCTCCCATGCAGGTGCAGGGCCCAAGGACTTGGGCTATCCTCCACTGCACTCCCGGGCCACAGCAGAGAGTTGGCCTGAAAGAGGAGCAACCGGACAGAATCCGGCACCCTGGCCAAAGACTTAATTCTTTACTAAACAAAGATTTCAACAAGTAAGAAGTACAAAGACCCTAGTTTGTGAGAATATGGGAAAAGACTATTTAAAAATCAAATGAAAAGATAACAATTTCACTTATACATAATAACTTTTAAAACAATAACAGATCATTACAACTATAGTAATATAATCTTAGTCAGCCATTGGTTTAACAAAGATATACAACAAGATTTGACAAAACTGTATTTGTAGTAGTACTGATATGCACAAGCATTTCCTTATTTTTTGCTTTTCTTTTTGATTTCTTTATTCATTTAAGCTCCCACATGTAATGTAGAACACGTGATATTTGTCTTTCTGTGTCCAGCTTAGTTCATTCAATATGATGTCCTTTGGTTGCACCCATATTCCTGCGAACGGTAGAATCTCATTGCTTTAATAGCTAAGCAATGTAATATCCCATTGTGTATACACTTACATACAGACAGACGTATTTTCTTAATCCATTCATCTGATAATGGATGCCTGGATTGATTTCATATTTTGGCTGTTGTGAGCAATGCTGCTATAAACATGCTGGTGTATATCTTTGATACATCATGTCCACATCCTTTGGTTATATACACAATAGTGGTATTGATAGGTCATACAGTGAGCTTATTTTTCTAGTTTTTTTTTTTTTCATTTCCCTTCCCTTAGGATTAGTGATATTGAAGTGCACATTTTCATAAACCTAATGGCTATATGTATGCATTCTTTGGAGAAATATCTATCAATCATGTTATTTGTTTTTTGTTCTTACTTTAGGTATTCTATTTCATTTTGGATATTAATTCCTTATCAGATATTGTGTTTGCCCATGTTTTCACTCATTCCATAGGTTGCTTTTCACTGTGCTGTTTGTTTGCGTTCTTGTGCAGAAGGTTTTTAATTTGATGTAGTCCCACTCTTCTACTTTTACTTTGATTATCTATGTTTTTGGAGTCATATCCAAGAAATCATTGCCAAAACATGGTGTTAGGAAATTTTTCTCCTGTTTTATTCTTGAAGTTTTACAGTGTCTACTATTATCTATTCAGACAAAATTTTAGTTTTTTTTGTGTGTCATATAAGAGATGAATTCCCTTCTTTTACACATAGTTACATAATATGCATGTATATAATTTATAGTTTTTCAAACATCGTTGTTGGTAGACACTATCTTCTCCCTGTTGTATAGTCTTCATACCTTGTGAAACATCTTAGATCATATATTATATGTTTATTCTTGGGTTCTCCATTCTGTCACAATGATCAATATATATCTATCTCTCTGCCAATGCCGTATTATTTTGATTATTTTATATTTGGAATATGTTTTGAAGTCATGAACTATGAGACCTGCTTTGTCCTTTTCCAAGACTATGTTGGTAACTCAAAAACTTTGTGGTTCATTATGAATGTTATGATTTTTTATATGCCATTGGAATTTTGATAGTGATTATATATGTATTTGTAGATCATTCTAGATATTTAAAAAACGTTAAGTCTTCTAATCCATGAACATAGGATATTTTTCCATTTACTTGACACTTTTAATTTATTTTGGCAATGTTTAATAGATTTTATATAAAAACCTTTCATTCCTATAGTTAATGTTATGCCTCATCATTTTATTCTATTTGATAGTGTTATAAATAGGAATGCCTTTTTAATTTCTTTTCAAACTATTGCTATATTGCATGAGTTTTGTTTGTTGACTTTCATGTAATTTTGTGGAATTTATTGGTTCCAATAGTTTCCTTTTGTAATTTTTAGGGTTTCCTAAATACAAGAACATCTCCTCTGAAAATAGAGATTTTAATTCATATTTTTTGATTTCAATGTCTTTTATTCATTTCACGTGTATAATTGCTTTATTAAGCAGTTCTGCTGCCTTGTTGAATAGAAGTGGCAGCAATGTGCGTTCTTGCCTTGTCCTTGATCTTAGAGGAAAAGTTTTCCTTTTTCAATTTTTTTTAACCATTGAACAGAACATTACTTGTGGGTTTTTCCTATGTAGCCTTTACTGTGTTGAGGTACATGCTTTCTATTACTTGTTTGCTAAATGCTATTATCCTGAGTATTGAATTTTGTCAAATGCTGTTTCTGACTATATAGATGATCATGTGGTTTTTATCCTTCACTCTGTAAATGTCATGAATCACACTGACTTTCCCATGCTGAATCACCCTTGCATCCCACTTGTCAGGTTATGATCCTTTTAACATAGTGTTGTATTCTGTTTGCTTGTGTTTTGTTGAGGATTTCTGGATCTATAATCACCAGAAATACCTTGGTTTTGGCATCAGGATAATGTTGACCTCTTAAATGAGTTTGGAAATGTCCTTTCTTATCCAGTTTTTTGTAAGACTTTCAGGATAGGTTACTTCAGATTTTTCTTAAATGTTGGTGTGATTTTCCAGTGAAGTCATTTAATCCTGAGCTTTTATGTGTTGGGAAGTTTTGATTATTGATCCAATCTTCTTACTGGTTAGGGATCTTATCAGATTTACTATTTATAATTCAGTCTTGATAAGTTGTATGTTTTTAGGAACATTTCTTCTAATTTATCAAATTTCCTGCTTGTGATTGGTTAGAGGCATCTCATACAAATCACTTTTTTTAACTTTTATTTAATGAATATAAATTTCCAAAGTACAGCTTATGGATTACAATGGCTTCCCCCCATAACGTCCCTCCCATTCACATCAAGATTCATTTTCAATTCTCTTTATATACAGAAGATCAGTTTAGTATACATTAAGTAAAGATTTCAACAGTTTGCTCCCACACAGAAACATAAAATGAAAAATACTGTTTGAGTACTAGTTATAGCATTAAATCTCAATGTATAGCACACTAAGGACAGAGATCCTACATGAGGAGTAAGTGCACAGTGACTCCTGTTGTTGACTTAACAAATTGACACTCTTGTTTATGGCATCAGTAATCACCCTAGGCTCTTGTCATGAGCTGCCAAGGCTATGGAAGCCCCCTGAGTTCACTGACTCTGATAATTTTTAGACAAGGCCATGGTCAAAGTGGAAGTTCTCTCCTCCCTTCAGAGAAAGGTACCTCCTTCTTTGATGACCCGTTCTTTCCACTGGGATCTCACTTGAGGAGATCTTTCATTTAGTTTTTTTTTTTTTTTTTCAGAGTATCTTGGCTTTCCATGCCTGAAGTAGTCTTATGGGCTTTTCAGCTGGATCCACATGCCTTAAGGGCTGATTATGAGGCCAGAGTGCTGTTAGGACATCTGCCATTCTATGGGTCTGCTGTGTATCTCACTTCCCATGTTGGATCGTTCTCTCCCTTTTTGATTCTATCAGCTAGTATTTGCAGACACTATTCTTGTTTATGTGATCCCTTTGGTTCTTAGTCCCGTCATTATGATCAATTGTGAACAGAAATTGATCACTTGGACTAGTGAGATGGCATTGGTACATGCCACCTTGATGGGATTGAATTGGAATCCCCTGGTATGTTTCTAACTCTACCGTTTGAGGTAAGTCAGCTTAAGCATGTCCCAAATCACTTATATTTCTAAACGATTGGTGATAATGCCTCCTTCTTCATTTCTGAGTCAATTGTCTAAATCTTTTCTCCTTGTTTTCTTATTCTACCTAATTTTTTACAAATACTGTTACTCTATTCAAAATACACCATCTTAGCTATGCTTATTTTTCTATTCATTTTCTATTCTATTTAACTTATTTCTTCTCCAATATTTATTTTTTTATTTTGCTACTACTTGTCTTAAGTTTCTTCTTCTAATCCCATAAGGTATAAATCCAAGTATTTAACTGAAATCTGTCTTCTTTTTTAAATATAGGCATTTACCACTAAAAACTTCCCTCCTATTAGAACATTTTCTTCATTCCATAAGTCTCCATGTGTTATGATTTCATTTTCTTTCTTTCCTGAGATATATATTAATTTTCCTTTGGATTTTCTCTTTGACCCATTGACTATTCAAGAATATCTTGTTTATTTCCCACATATTTCTGAGTTGTTCAGTTTTCCTTCTATTACTAATTTCTAGTTTCATTCCATTATAAAAAATACATATTAGATTTCAATCTTCTTAAGCTTTTTAAGAAATATTTGTGACTTGTATATGATCTATCTTGGAGAAAATATTATGTGTGAATGAGAATAATATCTATTCTGTTACTATTGTTTAAAATGATCTCTGTATGTGTGTGCTTGTGCATATATATATATATATATATATTAAAAATATCTCCAATAGATCCATTTGGCCTATTGTGTTGTTCAAGTCCTGTGTTTTCTTATTTCATTAGTCCATTTTCTTCTTCTGTAGAAAAATGCCTGGAGTTGAAGAATATTTTAAAATGAAAGATTATTTAGCTCACAATTTTGGAAGCTGACAGTCCCTATTTATCTTCTGTTGAAGGCATCCTGTCAATGGCACCAGAAGGATCCTAGCTCATGTAGAAGATATCTCAAGGTAATACAGAAAGCCAGAAATAATGAAGGGCTTGTCTTACTCTTTTTATGACAACTTGTAGAGAATTCTGCATAAGTGCTTCTCAGGGGGGCACAGACCCTAAAATTAGAGGCATGGCTGCAGTTTCTGCTCATACCAAAACAGACCAGGGATGGGCACAGCCGCCCCTAAAGGGTTGTGGCAGCGGGGGTAGCAGGGGGCTAATGAATAGGAATTGGTATCTGGGGTATTTGGTTTTTGGCAATTTGTAAATTTGCAGGAGCATTTAAATGAGCCTGTCTCTGAAGATTTACAACACAGTTCTGATCCCCATCTTAGGCCACAAGACCAAAATCCTTTCCCCAAATCCTTAAGTTGATGTATAACCTTGCCTATGTGCCTGCTGGCTTGTAGACTTGCTAGTACCCTCTAAATAAAAGTGGGAGTACATAGCTATCCAGTGGTGCACTCTTAGAATGGATGCTCCCGTGTCCTATCTCCTCATTTGAAAAGCTCCACAACAACCCATCTTTATGGGAATTCATCAGGGACCCACAAGGATGATATTAATCCCTTCCAAGAGTGATACATCCTAATGAATTAACTACCTTCAACTATCCCTTAAAGGTTTACCACCTCTTATTATCTCCATACTTGGGACCACACTCTTAGCACATTAATCCTCAAACTGTGTCCAAACTGTAGCACTAATTTATTTTATGATGGATATTCTATCCATCATTGAAAGTTTGGTTCTGAAACCTTCTACTCTTACTGCAGTGATATTAGAAATAATATTACTATTGGTCTGTATACTCAGTACTATTAATGTTTACTTCATATATTTGAGTGGTCTGGTGTTGCATGTGTGTATAGTGTTATATTTTCCTGATGAACTAAAGTTTATCATTACATAATGCCCTTCTTTGTTTCTTGTGTAATTTTTTATGCAATTTCTGTTTTGTCTGCCATAATATATTCAATTCTGCTCTCATTTGGTTATATTTATCATGAGATAACTTCATCCATTATCTCAGTTTCAGCATATCTATGCCATAAACTTAACATGAGTCTCTTATAAGCAGTATATAGTTGGATCTTGTTTTTTTTTTTTCAGTTTAGTCACTTTATGTCTTTTACTTACATTTATATTTCATTTCTGCCAGAGAAGACTACTGTTGCCATTTTGTAATTTATTATTTGTCCCTTTTTTGCATTTTGTCCCTGTATTGTTTTCTTGCTGTTCTCCTTTGTGTTTTGTTGATTTTTTTGATAATGATACGCTTTGGCTTATTTCTGATTTTCTATAGGTATGTATTTGTGACTGTTTTGACTTACATAAAATATCTTAATAGTTTTTAAGATGATAAAAACTTCAATTTGGTAAAACAATCTCTACACTGTTACTTTTTCCCTCTACACAGTATGTGCTATTGATATCACACAAGGCATCTTTTTTATTATGTATATATTACACAATAATGGTATTTTGTGTATTTTTGTAGTTAAAATTTCTTTTATGCTTTTGGTTTTAACTTCGTATATGAGAATAAAAAGTGATTTAATTACCACCATTACAGTATTACAGTACTCTGTATTTATTTATAAACTTATCCTTACTAGAAAGCTTAATAATTTCATATGTTTTTGTATTACTGTCTAGTGTGCTTTTATTTTGTCTTGAATGGTTTCCTTTAGCATTTTTTCTTTCCTTTTTTTAAAATTTATTTTATTTATTTGAAAGGCGGAGTTATAGAAAGAGAGAGAAGGATAGGGGTAGAAGGGGGGCATCTTTCAACCCCTGGTTCATTCTCCAAATGGCCGCAATGGTCAGAGATGAGCCAGGCCTGAACCAGGCCAAAGCCAGGAGCCAGAAACTCCTCTGCTTTCTCAGGCACATTAGCAGGGAGCTGCATCAGAAGTGGAGCAGCCAGGACTGAAACTACCACCCATATGGGATGCAAGGCTTAGCCTGTTACACCACAATGTCGTCCCCTGGCATTTCTTATAAAGCATGTTTAGTGGGGATGAAATCAGCTTTTGTTTATCTGGAAAAAATCTTTATTCTCCTTCATTTTGAAGTATATTCTGTAGGATATGGTCTTCTTGGTTGGCAGTTTTCTTTCTTTAGAACTTTGAATATTGAATCCCATTCTCTTCTGGCCAGCAAGATTTCATCTGACAAATTCTGATTGTTTTATAGAAGCTCCCTTATATGTGATGAGTCACTGAATTTCTGTTGCTTTCCAAATTCTCTCTTTGTCCTTGACTTTGGAAGACATGCATACAGTGTTTCTCAGTGTAGACTTTTCTGGTTTCACCTTAGGTGTCGCTGATGCTGCTACTGAATCTGGATATTCATCCCCTTTCCTGTATTTTTGGAGTTTATGGTCCATATTTCATCAGCTAAGCTTCCTACTTCTTTCTATCTTTTCATTCTGAAACTCCGTGGACCTACTTGATAACATCCTTTAAGTTACTTAGGTTTTCCTCACTTTTTTCGTTATTTTCTCTTTTTGCTCTTCTGACTGCAAAATGTCAAATGACCTGAATTCAAGCTTACTGATTCTTTCTTCTGCTTGTTCAAATCCAGTGTCAAATTCCTCTAGTGAAACTTTTAATTTAGTTCTTTTTATTTTTTGGCTCCAAATTTTTATCTAACTTTAATACTTATAAAACATCCTTATTGATATTACAATTGATATGTATAAGCACCATTTTCCTGACCTCTTTAATATCTTTATGGTGGTTATTTTAAATGTTTTGCCAGATAATTCATCTACCTTTATTTCTTTAGGGTCTAATTTCTGAAGATTTAATTTGTCCCTTTGATTTGGATGTTTCACTGTTTCTTCATATAATTTCTACTTTTCTTGGAATTATCACAAACAAAAAGTCACCTCTGTCACTATTTGGGGACTAGCTTCTTGTAGGGACCGATTATCACTGATTAACCCAGCTAGAGATTTTGTGCGTTTCCAATCCTTTTTCTGTGTATTCATCCTCTCTGAAACTATGTCTATAAATTTTCAAAGAAAAGAAATTGCTGATTTCTTTTTTTTCAGGAGCTTATAGTATCCTGCCCTTTATCCTTTTTCCCCCAACCACACTCCCCTCCACACAGGTATCTGTCCCTGATACTTCTGGTTTTCTGAAGCTGCTGCAAGTTGTCTAGCTCTTTTGTTCTTAATGGTCTCTAGCCATCTAAAGTGTGCTAGGTTCCATCAGCACTCAGACAGGCAAGACAGAAAGTTTGTCAAGTAGCCTAACAAAAATTCAGAATGTTGGATACATGCTCTGACTCTTTTTCCTCATGAAGAACCCAGGGAATTTAATCTCTCCCCCACTCCACCCCACTTTTGATTTGGTGCTGACCTGGTTGGAGGAATATGGCAAACAGGTAACTATATTCTGAGCCACTGTTTTCATTATCTGAGATGCCCAGCCTGAAACCTTTTCCTTTCAGCACTTTGATTCAGGCAAGACCTGAGACACTGAAAGTTACCTCAAGAAAGTCAGAATATTGGATAGATTATAAAATATTATCTTTTCTTCCCAAGGGAGAATCCAGGATCTTGGAGTTTCTTTTCCAGACTGCACTGTGCTGTGCCAGGAAAAATGACATTCCCAATGTGTGAGTGAATGCCAAAAATTTCCTTCTGGGTTTGATGCAGCTGGTTTTGCATCCACTTAGGATGTGGGATACTCATTACTGTTTTTTTTTTCTCACAAAAGGAATTTGTGCATGTATTATTTTTGAGTCTATGTTTCCATAGGAAGATGGAGGTTCAGAGGCTTCCTTTTTTTCTTTTTTTTTTGGTCACCTCTCACAAACTGGTTTAATTTTAAATTTCCCAAAATTACCCATAAATAGCAATACCAATGGCAAAACAGTTACATAAGAATTAATTTCTATTATGATAATTTTAAGATGTGACAAGGTGAATTGCCATCTATTGGAACCTGACTTTTATGAATCTATATCTTCAAGACTGTACCTGTTGCCATTTAGTGTTCTTTCTTTTTCATTCCATGTTACCCTTCCAAGTTCGATAGCTCTTTGGACATTGAATTTCTTTGCTGACATGTTCATGTACCTCCTCAGAGTTTGACCTTATCCTGCCTTTCTTCTTTCTTATTGCCATGTAAGTTTCTACTTCTCTCTTTTATGTACTTTAATTTCCTTCTCTCCCTTGAGAGTCACTGATCCATGCCAAGTTAGAAAGTAAAAATCACAGCTACAATGTCAACACAAAAGTATTGGAAATTATCCCCATTGAAGACACCTGTGCATCTGTGGTTCTTTTCTGAGATTCAGATTTTATTTAGGCTGTTCTAAATAGCTGGGATCTTAAACTAGATTGCCATCAGTCAGGTGCATTTTACTGGATTGAAGAAAGATTGCATTATGTTTAATGTAGTTGTTTGCAAAGAATGCCTTAAAGCATGATGAAATTTGATATTGAAGGAGAATTCTGATAAATTCGAATTCAAGGTTAGTTCAACACTTCATGAAATACAAGGGACACAGTCTCTCTCCCTTCTTCCACATGGTCCTTTATCCTTATGTTACTCAACACATACTCAGAAAATGTCCATCTGAACTCTAATTATCAGACATTTTAATAATTACACCCAAGTCAGGAAGAGATGAAAGAGGCCCAAAAGGACGTTCTCATGGTAGCGTTTTGCTGTACATCAGAGCAACATCTCTCTCAGAGACTCTAAAAATGAATGCCTCTTAAATATCGTTGGATAGAACTTGTTAATATATATGTATATTTCTATATCAATCATTGGGAAAGGAAAAGAGGATCAATATAATTGCATCAAAAATATCATGGCCTTTTGATGAAGCTGGACAGTATTTCACTCAGAAAAATTTAGATTTCTGTAGTAAGGAGAAAAATGGGAATGGATGGGTAGTTATCTAGTGACATCTTCTTGGCGTCATTTCCTTATACACCATCGCCTTGAAGAGTCAAAATTTCTCCATTCACTCTAGCAGTAAGCCTTACACTCAAGAAAGAAAATGCAGCCATGATGGGGAGAATATGGTCTGCCATAGTCATCTTGCATTATCAGTTCTGATACAGAAATGTATGGATGAATGTTCTAGTTCTTGGCATAAAGATATGTATTTCTCTGTATGTGTCTGGGTATATTTGTGTGGGTGTCTATTAATGTGACACTTGTGGTTGTAAGAGCATTTACACATAGGACATATGCTATACAGAAAGCAAGACTGCCAAGGTTTCTGCTCACACAATACTCATGGGCTACCTGGCAAGATGTCATTAAACAAATAATAACCATAAAGTGAGATACATATGTAGTCCAGCATGCTGTGGAAGAACACATTCTAGTAACTAAGGGATAACAAAAGTTCTAACAGGAAGTGAGATTCAAATTGATACCTGAAGAAGAAGACAGATTTGACCAGGCAGATATCAAGAATATTATATTTGCAAAGTCTCAAAGGCCAGGAAGAACCTGACAAAAATCCAGCAAAGCTAGAAGGAAGAGTTGGAAAAGAAAACTCATAATAGGTAAGACCAGCTCATGTAGAGCTTTTAATAATTCCACAGTATTTCTTAAATGGCACAATTCTACACCAGATTGGGATAAGCAACACATTACCCGTGAAGTACATGAAATACTGTGTAAAATGAGAATTATAGGAATAGGAAAATATTTCAAATTATCTCACTAATATTTAGGCAAGACATCGCTTTTCAAAAAGGCAGTGTGTTAATTCCAGGATGTTTTAACTGTTATCTGAGTTATATCTTTTGTTGCTTTATGAAAATACTTATGACATTGAGGGTCTTACAAGGTTGAAGTTGAACTGATATGCAAAAGGGCTTTCTAGTGCAGGATAAGGTAGCAAAATTACATTATATGCATGGAGGGTTGTTGTTGCTGTTGTCTTTCTTATAATTTTTATTTTAATTTATGCGACGGGTAGAGTTATAGACAGCGAGATAGAAACAGAGAGAAAGATCTTCCCTCCATTGGTTCACTTCCCAAATGGCCACCGTGGCCGGTGCTGCGCCGATCTAAAGCCAGGAGCCAGGTGCCTCTTTCCGGTCTCCCATGTGGGTGCAGGGGCCCAAGTACTTGGGTCATCCTCCACTGCCTTCCAGGACCACAGCAGAGAGCTGGACTGGAAGAGGAGCAGCTGGGACTAGAACTGGCACCCATATGGGATGCTGGTGCCGCAGGCGGAGGATTAATCACGTGAGCCACGATGTCGGCCCCCGTTGCTGTTGTTTTTCATAAAAGGAAATTAACTCCAGATTATGAAAAGAAATAGAAATATTATGTAAGAGAATAAACATGTCTTTTAGAGACTAGAGACAGATTTGTATCTGGACACATGAAGGGATTGTGATAAAAAATAGAAACCCATCAAGACTCTTTTTTTGTGTCTCTTTTCCTGTTCTTGTTTATTTATTCTTTTCTCCATGCCTTCTTTCCTTGTGGAACAAGAAGCCACATTATTCTAATATAAGTGATAGCAGAGATGAGCTGCAGTTTCTGAGTTAATAATATAAAATTTTAAAAAATGTATCCAAGTGACCCAAAGGCAGATGTCTACTTCTGATAAATTCAGGGAGGGTCAGAATTACAGCCTTACAGACTTCATGTCTACCAGCCATCTAGTTCTATATTTAATAGCAGGTCATTCTGAACTACAAAAAAGAACCCAAAACCTATTACAATACCAAAAAATCTAAAGACAAGTCCTAGTAATTGTATTGTTAATTTATTTGTATTTAGTAGAGTACATAGAAGTTATAACTGCCCAATAAATAACACTTTTGGACAATCTTCATATTTGCATTTTGTTTTTAACATAAAGAAGCTATACTGAACTAAATAGGTTTGAACAATGTCTTTGTGAAGGATAAACGAATGACTATTTTGTGATATTACAGTCATATTCAATGAGGTATTCTATAACTATTTTCCATTGTATTTTTTGACCAACATACTTTTCCATGATACTTAAGTAGCATATTAAGCTTCCTTTGTGATATGACTCATTCATACTTGAATTCAGGTAGAGTAGGGATTAAATCATGTCTTCTGAAACATATAAATAACATTCAGTAGAAAATAAGTGTTTATGAATTCCTTATGGTGTTCTGCCTTAGTGGACTTAGAAAACACTATGTGGTTTGTCTTAAAATCATACTATCATAGCACAAAAATGATTTGCAGTAAATAGACAACACATTTATAATAAAGGAATTACAATAAATAAAGCAATTTTTAATTTGTAAGTATTTTTAGTACATCACATCTTTCTGAGAGCTGCCTCAACAGCAGTATCCGTGTTAAGACAAAAAAAGACATGATTTCCATTGCAATGTAACTCAAAACAATCCTTGATTTCAATTCCTCTGTTTAGTTCTGTGTGAAGTCTAGTAAAAAAAATGCTTTACACCAATGTAATGTTAATGCGTATGCCTTTTACTTATGTAGTTCACCTGAATCTGACACTAATTGAAATGTAACTCATCTTTGAGTCCTCTTAAACGTACCTAATACTATTTGTCATGATTGCATTCCATCACAGATTTAATCTCAAGGTCTTGAATGGGCATTACAGCAGAAAAAAGGAAAATTGACATCTGGTTAAAACGTGAGGTGGAACTTCATCCATATGAATCAGAGCATAAATCAGTAGATGACATTCATAATACCCTGGATAGACCTTTCCATTCCTATCAATATACATATCATTGCAGGATTAGATCTAATCATCAGTGCAGCAATTTTATGAATAATACATTTTTAAATGTAGTTTTACAGATAAAATTTGGGATTCTACTTTTTTGTTGTTGTTAAATAAAGAAAGAGTTCTTGCTAAGAAGATTGAATATTATGTCATTGGGGTAGCATTATAGGGTTGGTCAAAGGTTTCCCAAAATTAATTCTCAAGCCATAACACCTGATGATGTCATTAAAGCTCAGCTTGTTCTAACAAATGTATATTAAAACAAGAAAGCTATGATTTTAAAAGAAAAATTTATTCTGGGTCACAGAGATTACCAACTGTTCCTTTCAATATCTATAGTTGATGTTTTTAATAGATGCAGATATAGTACCATTCATCAAGTTTATTGCCTTCTTTTGATATTATACATCTTGTAGGATAGAAAAAAATGAGTTGTGCTTTTTCGCTGGTAGAAGAAACTGTGAAAGGTCACCTTAGCTGATCTTCTGCCCAAGGCAGAGAATATTCGGTAAATGGCCTGTTATAGTAAATTGCTTAAACATTGAAGCATTTAGGGGTGTATGTCATTATTTCAGCCTTGTTCCATCATTTTATAATTCATAAAAGTTCATTTCTATTGCTGTCTTGTAAAGATAGTAACTTGGGAATCTAGCAAAGAATCTTTCTACTGTTTCTACCCTTTTGTCTCAATACAACCCCACAAAAGTGTCCATGTGGTTACTGTGTAATATATGTTCAAAAGCCTACTGTATTTTAGGTTTATTTCAAATGAAAAATTATAAAATAAATCATATTTTTATTTCTCAAACTTGATATGCAGATAATTGAAAAGACAGCGAATAATCATTAAACTAATGGGAAGTACATATATTACCCTATCAATTTCTGCATCAAATGTGTTAAAGGCAAAGAAAATATTTGCCTACATATTACATATTTAACTCATAAATACTTTCATAATTAAACATTTATTTTACAAGTTATCAAAGCCACACATGTAAAATAAATTATCCGTATACTATTAATGAAATGTGTTAATATATTGATCAATATAAATTAGATAGACTTCAGAATTTATTTTCAACCCCACTATAAAACATAAATAGTAGACTCAACCTTAATAATCTAAGAATTTTCATATCAAAACAAAAGGTTCTTAAGCTTCTAAGACAATTTGGAAGTTATTCTGCACTTTTTTATGAAAAAGTAAACCAATAATATGAAGGTTATGCATATCATACATATTTAATATAGTCACATTCCAGTGAATCGTAAAGGTAGGAATATAAGATGGCTTCTTGTTTTCTGCCTTGTTTTTTAAAATATTCATTTGAAAGAGGAAGATCTTCAATTTGTTGCTTTGCTCTCTAAATGCCTGCAACCAGGGCTAGATCAAGCTAAAGCCAGGAGTCCAGAACTCCATTCAGGTCTCCAATATATCTGGCAATGACTCAAGTACATAAGCCATCCTCTGCTATCTTCTAGGGTGCACATTAACTGGACGTTGGACTTGGAAGTGGAGCTTGGACTTGAACCCAGGGAGACTAAATGGAATGTGAGTGTTCTAAGTGTCTCCTTAAAATCAGTGCCAAATGCTTGCCCTAAAGGTCTCTTGCCTTCTAAACCAGTGTTTTTGATATTTTTACTTTATAATAAATATTGAACTTGGAAATCTCACCCTAAATCAATTATGATACTTAAAAATATTATCCTACAATAATTATTAAATTATATTTGCTGTTTCTGTGTGATCATTTCAACAGTAAGAGGTCATGTTAACTCTGACATTCAAAATAACTAAATAAATCATTTTTTAAAGTCTCACATTAATTAAATAATGAAAATCTTCCTGATCTTGAACAAAACATATAAAACCCTGAAATTTTGTTAATTAATGTCACATGTCTTATTTTTGTCTCCATTATTTTTGGTCTAGTTAGCATGACCCAAGGACGCGAACCTTAATTCTGGATTTCCCGATGTTTTTAAAGGAATCAGAACATTTGCAAATTCTGAGAGGCACTTGCTATTTTTCACTATCCTACTTGCAATTTTTTCTTTAAAAATCACATTTATTAATGTTTTAAATTTTTTATTTGTCTACTTGAAAGGTATACAGTTTATTTATTTGGCAGATAGACACACAGAAAAACAGAGTGTTCCCATCTGCTGCTTTTCTCTCCAAATGCCTACAACAATCTGGGCTGGGCTAAATCAAGGCAAAGCTGAGTGCCAGGAATTCAAACCAGGTCTCCTACATGGATGGCAGGGAACCAATTATTTGAGACATTACATGCTGCCTCCAAGAGTGCACATTAGCAGAAACTGGTATTAAGATGTTACTGAGACTTGATTCAAGACATTTGAATATGGGATGCAGGCATCCCACTCAACGTCTTACTCGCTAGGATAAATGCTTGCCCCTAACTCCTTATAGTCTAACATAGCTATCATTAACTTCAGTTTATGCTTGAGATCTGCATCTTTTCTTCAAGCTTCATTTTAACTAGATACAGAAAATAAAAATAGACTAGATATTTATTTTTAATGGAAATAAACTCCCCAGTAAAATCTCAAATTATGAGATAATTTTTGTTTATAATTATCTTTCAGTTTTATATTTTTATAATCATTGCTAGCTCTTCTTTCATTTGCAAATTGCTTCAAATATTATGAATTCAAGCAAAGATTTTTAATTGATAATTGGTATAACTACACCAACACTTATTAAAAACTGATTGAGCCCACCTCAGTTCTTTTCTAGCCCTAAAATATCTGAACTCTTCCCAACTAATACTTGGCTGTTTACCAGTCTCATTAAAATACTTCTCAAAACTGTATTAAGTATTTGTTTAGGCCTAATCTTTTTTTTTTGACCTTTTAATTTAAAACAAATTTTCTTTGTTTTTTTTTCCCCCAGATATGAAGCATTTTGCCCAGGCCTAATCTTCTGAAAAATCAGGGAATGCTTTCAGTAAATAAAACAGTGAACACTACTTAGAAAATTTTAAATATAAAATAATTTTAAAATGAAATAAAACTGAAAATATAATAAATGTGTGAGGAAATCCAGGCGAGGCAAACTACAATATTTTTACAATAAATGAGACATGTTATCCTGCACTGTCTGGTGACTGATATTAACATGTATACAAATACAGATGATGGTACTTCTCCAAACCCATCTGAAAAGCAAACATAGCAATTAACCAAAACACTTAAACCTCTCTCTAGATTCTATTCTGCTTTCCAAATAAATATTTTATCTTGTCTTTTTTTTTAATCAAAGAATCATTAGAAAAGTTGTGTATGTCAATGTCTCTGATTCCTCTCATTCTGTTCTCTTTTAAATCTACTGTATCTTTTCCTCCACTGTTTCTACAGTTAAAGAACTGTCCTTAAATCATTAATATTGTCATAATGTTAAATTAAATGGTTAATTTTCTTCCTATATCTTATCTGAATGAACAGTAGCTTCTGAGCAGATTCTCTTCATGAAACATTTCAATTTCTTGACTTCCTTAGATTTTTCCTTCACTGATCATTCTCAGGCTCCTCTCCCGTCTGATTGTTTCCCAGCACTTATTGGAGTTATTCCATGTCCAGGTTCTTGGATATTTTCTTTGTTTTTCTGTATTTCCTACTTACTGATCCAATCTGAACTAATTATTTTAAATAGCAAGTACTGTTGACATTTTATAAATACATATCTTCAAATTGGACTTTTCTGTGAAATTTCAGTCTCATATATTCAAGTGTCTATTTAACTTCTCAACTAGGACATCCCATAGACTTTTCAAACTCAGATATTTGAAGTTACAGTTTTAATACTATATTAAAATTCTCCTGGATGCAAACTTCTCCAAGAAAATAATTTTGGTGACATCTTTTGCCTCCTTTCTTTCTCAAGTCACTCATCACAATCTTTGATCTCTCTTTCTTTCTCTTAAATAATTTGTCACAATCCATTTGTCACTAAATCCCATTGGTCCAGCCTTCTAAATGCATCCAGAGTATGATCTCCATTGTTACCACCTTGGTCCAAGCCAGCAGCTTCACTCATAGATTCTGGCAGAGGCCTGTGAACCACTTCCTTATTTCCAATGTTGCTCTTGTTTTTACCCATATTCCCCCAGGAGAAGACTTCAATAAATAAAGTATGCAAGGAAATATCGCTTGATAAGCTTTCCCAAGAGACACTTTGGAACAAGGAGAAAGAAGCTCAGGAGGATAGAAAATTAATAAAAGATATGTCATTTAGGGGCTGGCGCCGTGGCTCACTTGGTTAATCCTCTGCCTTGTGGCACCAGCATCCGATATGAGCGCCAGGTTCTAGTCCTGGTTGCTCCTCCTCCAGTCCAACTCTCTGCTGTGGCCCGGGAGGGCAGTGGAGAATAGCCTAAGTGCTTAGGTCCCTGCACCCGCATGGGAGAACAGGAGGAAGCACCTGGCTCCTGGCTTCGGATCAGCACAGCGCAGGCCGTAGCAGCCATTTGGGGGGTGAACCAATGGAAGGAAGACCTTTCTCTCTGTCTCTCTCTCTCTCACTGTCTATAACTCTACCTGTCAAATAAATAAATAAATAATAATAAAAAAGATACGTCATTTAGTAAGACACCACTTTTGGTTAGAAACCTAATCCAGAGGGGCACTGCTGGACCACAATGCAGAATGCACATCTCAGGACTGTTCTAACCAAGGAGAATGCTGTGAAGCACAAGGTGACGTTCTTGGTGAGCACTCTGTGTCACTTCCAGCTATGTGGACAGATGAGGCTCTCATGGCCATTATTAGATGGCATAAGGAAATCTCTTAAGGTAAAAGTCACAGGAGTTGGCAACTGGAACGTGGACTGGCAAGTAAAACATTAAACGGACAATGATAAGGATAATATAGGATTATCATGATATATGCCATTATATATACTTTATTTTTATTCCAGCAACAGAGTTATCTTAAGAAATGTAAGTCAAATCATATCACTTCTCTGTTCAAATCCTTCTAATAGATACCCATATTGCTAGGTGGAAATAAACCTTACATCCTACCATACTCCTTTTGGCTCCTAGCTACACATTTTTTTTTTTTTTTTGCATGCTACCAATTCCTCACTGTTGCTCATATACATGAGGTATACTTCAAAATCAGAATTTTTACATGACCATTTGCTTTGTTGAGAATGTTTTTTCCTAGGATAACTGTGTGGCATTTTTGCTTCCTTCTGAAAGTCTTCCCTAAAATGTCACCTTTTAGTGAGAATGCTCACAATATCCCACTTGTAAAGGGAATCCATATTCTATCAGGCATTCCAGAATACCTCTTCTATTTTATTATTTGCCATCACACTTAATTTCACCTACAATATTAGCATATATATTTTACTTGGTGCTTATACTCACTGTCTCCAATCACCTACAGAATTGAGCTCTAAACAGACAGGGATTTGCTTCTGTTTTGTTTATTTCCATCTCCTTTGTATTTATAATTGTACACATGAAAGGCTCACAGTGTGAAAAAATAACAATAACAACAAATAAATAATATACTCCAAAAACAGCTGCAATATGGAATATAATTATTTAATAAGAAACATATAAAATGATCAGGAAAAAATAAGAAATTTCTTCAGCTTGGACCCATGAATGTTACTTGTAAAATGAGATTTTATATTATAGGTCTAAGGATAAATTTCTATCTTGAGATGAATTTATTTTGTGTATATGTGTGTAGATATTCCCTCTATTTGGCTTTGATAATACTTAGGTAACACAGTTTTTCTCTTTACAGAGGCAAAGTTAAAGAGGAGGTTCCTAATCATGTAGAGTTTCTAGTTCCAATTTTGACATAACATAAATCTGGATATTTATGGTTAATGATAAATATAAAATGTTAGTTTTGGAGTAGACATAAGGGTCGGAGTTAGTTTTAAAGTTATGGTAGAAATGGAAGTTATATTTATATCCCGTAAGTAATTTGGAAACTCAATAGACAAAATTTCATTTCTTCATTTGAATCAAATTATCATCCCTTTGCCATATATTGTGGGTGGGGGATGGGAGATGATTAGGCATTTCTGTCTCTGCTCTCACAGGCTAGGATAATATGGTTGGTTGACAGTTTCTCCCCACCCATCTATATGGAATGGAAAAAGGTCAGTTTCCTAAAGGAAGAGGTAGAGCTACTGGAAAAAAGGGGATGAGAAAAAAAGGAAAGTGATTATTGGGAAGACAAAAACAACCATCAGCTACACATACCTAAGCTACAGTGCAATTTAAAATTCTTGACATTTTAATATTGTGGAATATTCAGGGCTGGGTTCCTTTTCATTATCTGTACTCTATCTGTGCCTGTTTCAGTTTTCGTCTCTCTCTCTCTTGCTCTCTCTTTCTCATTTTAAGCCATTTCTTCTCATCTCACCTTCAATGGTTACCAAGAACATGATGATTCACTTCCTTAAGGATAACTTTACTTAAATACAGTTTAAAAGTTTGTCAGTACTCAAATCATCTTAATATGATTTTCCTTTCACTTTATTATTTGTTTGGACATTTATTTCCCTGAGATGTTTCATATTGTGATGTTTCTGTCTTTCAAAAAAATCAATATCCTATTGACTTTTCAATATATCTTCATTACCTTTTCAGTTCTGTATTGTTACTGGATTTCCTTTGATTCATTCATTCATTCTTCATTTACCCTCTTCACTTCCTGCCCTTTATTCCAAAAGTGAGTACTCGATAATTATCATTTCACAATAATTTTGGTTATATTTTTCTGGAAAACATATCTAGAGAAATCAACATGTCTTTCTAAGTGTTATTTAAGAATATTCTATATGAATAAGTCTATGCTTGTTTTTTAATGTAATTGTTTCTTTCCATATGATTACATTATCATTAAAAGTTATAATTTATTTTGTTTTACAGAAATTCAAGGAACCAGTATCTCTTTAATGAAAAAAGTCACATTCAATAACAAAAAACTGTCAGTAATGTGTCATTGTTTTGGTTCCATACAAGTCATACTCAAGTGTCAAAGCCTACTCAAGTGACAAAGACATATAAGTAAACAGCAAATTTGTCAAAACTGAATATTGTAAAGCAGAACAGAGAATTTAAAAAGAATTCTCAAGTTGGCGCCGTGGCTCACTAGGCTAATCCTCCACCTGCGGTGCCAGCACTCTGGGTTCTAGTCCCGGTTGGGGCGCCGGATTCTGTCCCGGTTGCTTCTCTTCGAGTCCAGCTCTCTGCTGTGGCCCAAGAGGGCAGCGGAGGATGGCCAAAATGCTTGGGTCCCTGCACCGGCATGGGAGACCAGGAGGAAGTACCTGGCTCCTGGCAGTGCCAGCTGTAGTGGCCATTTAGGGGAGTGAACCAATGGAAGGAAGATCTTTCTGTCTGTCTCTTTCTCACTGTCTAACTCTGCCTGGCAAAAAATAAAAAATAAAAAAAAAGAAACCTCAAGTTTTTATATGACTTTGTTCATTATATTTATAAGAAAATTGAACTCATGTTAATATGTGGAAGCTTATGGTACTGATAATGAAGTGGGAACTGCAATACAGGTACAGATTAATTAGTATCTCTGACAAATTTTCTGATTTGATATTTGAAAATGAATAGCCATATTTTATTATGCAGTGAATCATTTTTAAAATTTCACTGAATAATATTCTTTTCTAGATGACATACTGTTATTTCATAAATGGGTAGTTATAATATGAAAATACCTGTTTAAAATGAACTTTATTTTTTTTACTACTATTGCTCAAAGAAAAACATTATTGTCATACTGGAAAGTCATATAGTTACCTAGCAACATAAAATATTTTCTATTAAATGACAAATAGCACATGATTTCAAAAAAGTGAATAAATTCCAAGGTTTGCCACAGGGAGTGGGAAAAGGGAAAAAAAAAAAAAAGATAAAACAACTCTCAAATCCAAAGATGTTTTCTATCACTCTCATGTTACTAAAGACTTCAGGTAGCAAAAGTGTAACTAGGACTTCTTGACATATTTGCATAGCACATTTTGCTTTATTTATTTTTTGCACATTCTGTCATTCACATATTTGATGCTCCAATCTTCAGTGTTAATGTTCTAATCACATTCATTAAGTTAATTTCATGTCTTAGACTATCTCTTAATATACTGTTCATATATTTTTTTTTAATTTTAAAAGTACACACACACACACACACACACACAAAGCAGGGGGTGGAGATAGGGAGCTACCATCTACTGGTTTACTTCAAATGTCCACCAGGGTTGGCCAGGCCACAGCTAGGAGTTTGAAACTCAATCTTGGTTCCCAACAAGTGTGTCCTGGACTTAACTACTTACTCCATCACCTACTACTTGCTACTATATGCATTATCGAGAAGCTGGATTGAAAGTAGAATAACTGAGACTTGAACCAGGCACTTTGTTTGAGATGGGATGTGAACGTTCCAAGGGACTGCTTAACCTTTATTCCAAATGCTTGTCCTGTCATATCTTTTTAATAGTAGATTCTACATTGTATTTCATTTTCATATAACTGTATTTCTGCCCTTGCCATGAGACTGCTATCTCTTTGAGGTCGATGGTTTCTTTTTGATGATTGTTCCTTCTAATGTCAAGGAGCGTGTCTGGTAATTAATATACTCTCAATATTTGCTTCATGAATGAGTGAATGATATTCTCTCATTATTCAGATTTAGCTTGTACTCATTTTAGAGTAGCACACAAGGCTGGCATTTGGTGCAGTTCTCCACGAGTGAGATCCCAGTGGAAAGAATGGGTCATCAAAGAAGGAGGTACCTTTCTCTGAAGGGAGGAGAGAACTTCCACTTTGACCATGGCCTTGTCTAAAAATGATCAGAGTCAGTGAACCCAGGGGGCTTCCATAGCCTTGGCAGCTCATGACAAGATCCTAGGGTGATTACTGATGCCACAAACAAGAGTGTCAATTTGTTAAGTCAACAACAGGAGTCACTGTGCACTTACTCCTCATGTAGGATCTCTGTCCTTACTGTGCTGTACATTGAGATTTAATGCTATAACTAGTACTCAAACAGTATTTTTCACTTTATGTTTCTGTGTGGGAGCAAACTGTTGAAATCTTGACTTAATGTATGCTAAACTGATCTTCTGTATATAAAGAGAATCGAAAATGAATCTTGACATGAATGGAAGGGGAGAGGGAGTGGATAAGGGGAGGGTTGCGGGTTGGAGGGACGTTATGGGGGGGAAGTCATTGTAATCAATATTCTGTACTTTGGAAATTTATATTCATTAAATAAAAGTTAAAAAAAAAGATGTTACTTGGGAAACTTTTATCCCATATACAGGTGTCAGGGTTCAAGTCCCAGGTATGTGTGCTATCCAGTTTCCTGATAATCACATCTGGGAGGCACCAGGTGATGGCTCAAGAAGCTGGATCCTTGCCATCCACATGGGAAACCCAGTTGGAGTTCTGAACTCCTAGCTTCAGGCCTGATGCAATCCTGACTGTTCTCGGCATTTGGGGAGTGAACCAGTACATAGAAGAATTTTTTCATCTGTCAATATCTTTCTCTCTCTGTCTCTTTTTTTTTCCAAATAAAATGAAAATAAGTAAATAAAATTATAAGAGTAGCTCACTATCCTGGTTAGATCTAAGCAGAATATAAGGATCCAGACTGAAAGATGCTGACATTTCTCTCAAAAAATTGTTGTTCCTGAGCTTCCAAAGGAATCAGTCCGTGTGACCATTATCCAAAAACTTGAGTAAATTTTCTTTTCTAAGCACAGATAATGTGTTCTCATACACACACTTAGTGCTAGAATTAAACTGTAAGTGTCTAATTGTAATTCTGAACAGAAAAAAATATATAAAATATACATAAGATAAGCATATTCTAGTCCCTGTGCTATGTTCAGAATTTATGCATTAATAAATGATACTCAAGGATTGCCTACAAAAGAAGGCAATTAGCCTTAGTGAAGAAAAGAGTTTAAAATATTTTATCAATCAATACATTCTTATTTATCAATATCATAATTAGACATAAAATAATGGCTTGAAATTCAGGTGAAAGAATGTGTCCTCATTGTTGAAGGCAAGGCTTTTCTTAGTAAAAGCCAGCATTGGTCATAAATACATTAATTAAAATGAAAATTGAAACTTTAAATTTGAATACCTTGCACTAAATATAAAATAAGTTCAAACCATCTCTTATTAATTCCATTGATATTTTATTAAAATATGTATAATATACACAAAATTTTATATATATATACAATACATATGCAATGTATAGGAAGAATTTTAGGTTCACATGTTGGAAATCTGAATTATTATAGTTCAAAAAATTTGCTTCAAGTCTCTAATCTACAACAAGCAGGTACACATCTTAAATTTTATAAGTTTGTTACAATATTTAGGTAACACTCTTCAGAGATAAAATATTTGAAAAACTCCCAATATATTGCAGAAGGGGGTAGGTAACCATCAATGTGGATTATGTAGACCTCGCAAGAGTCAGGTTTCTTCTTTGTTTCCTCACGGAAGATTAAAGATATTTCAGTGAAAACTGCATTTCTAAAATGTTAGAGTAAACGAGTCCTTCAAGAGAATTTTTTTTCCTATCTTAATTCTCATTTTTCTAGTATTTTCATACTTTTAGTGTTATTGCTGAAATTTATGATAATTTTAGACTTTAACGTAATTCTATCATCTATTTTGTGACCAACAACTTTTGACATTTATAATTTAATAAATCAGAACCATAGGTTTGAATAAGAGCCAGTCTTTCACAATGCTTTTGTGTCATGAATTTTCATAGTGACCCCTCATTTCCTTCCATGATATAATTGATTGCACTTATTATGTGGCAGTAAGTTTAATGGTTGAAGAGCCACTCAGCAAACAGGAGTAAAATTCATCTTAATCCTGAAATATTTTCAAATGGAAAATAATAAATTAGAAAATATAGAACAAGATTTTTGTTCTGTTGATTCTATTACACAGTGATTTCTATATATCATTGTAGACTTCTGAAATATCTTTTAGTTTTGGTAAGTATGTATAATAAAAAGATGTTATTTGCCTAATACATTATAAAGTGTTTCCATGTTCATGTTGATAATTCTGCTTAAAATGTTACACAGGTACGTATGTTATCACTCAGAAAACTTTTTTAGGCTCTCACACATTTATTGTATAATTATCGACTGTAACCCCTTCTATTGGTCTTCTTTTACATTTTCTTTTCTTCTTAATGCTGCTTCAAGGTAGGTCTTTTAGTCATCTCTTATTTAATAAGGGCATTAGTGTCACAACTGAATTTTTGTCCAATAGAAAAGCATTTGGCTTTACAGTTGTTCTCCATCAGATAATAGCAGGCCTGCTTTTACTTTTCTCCATGGCAGAGATTCTCACATTGAGTGTACCAGGTGTCCAGCTTCCCCTGAAATTCCATCTTAAGAAGTCAGGAATGAGTCCTAAAATCAGAGCTTTTTACCGTATGCCTGGTTTTCGTTTCATGGATTTTTCAAACTGCATGGTTCAAGGTGATCCTTTCCAAGACTTAAAGAATTATAGCTGTTAGGGATTCCAAGATCGCTGAATAGATAGCTATGCTCATTCTAATCAGGGGAAGATAGCAGAAAAAAAGCTAAGGAAGTGTATTCCCAGGGGAGAGTTGAAGTGTTCACAGTAGAAATTATACAGAATGAAGAGAAACACCATGGAACAGCGTGG